CAAAAGCATCCATAGACATGCATAAATGGATGGGCATGACTGTGTTCCAGTGAAACTTTATTTACAAAAACAAGTGACAGATTTTATTTAACCTAAGGGCTTATCTTAGGCTGTTCCTGCTGCTAAAACAAAATACTTGAGACTGGGTAACTTACAAAGTACAGAAATTTATTTCTCACAGTTCTGGAGGCTGAAAGTATAAGATCAAGGTGCTGGGAGGTTCTCTGTCTGATGAGGGCCTACCTAGTCTCTGCTTCAGAGTTGGTGCCTAGTTGCTGTGTCCTTCAGAAGGGTAGAATGCTGCGTCCTCACATAACAGAAGGAACAGAAGGGGAGAATAGGTACTAGGGTGCTCCCTTCAACCTGTTTCATAAGAGCACTAGTCCTTTCACAAAGGCAGAGCTCTCATGATTTAATCACTTCCTCAAAGACCCCCACCTCTTAATACCATCACCCAGGGGTTTAAGTCCCAACATATGAATTTTGGAGGGACACATACATTTAAACCTTAGGAGGGCTGTAGTTTACTGACCCTTGATTTAAAGCAACAAAATCATTACTTTGTTTACAAATCTGTAATTTTGGTAGATTTTGGTGGGCAGCCCCTCTGTTCTACTCAGTGTCAATTTGGGCAGTTCAAAGGCTGAGGACTGGATTCATCCAAAAGCTCAATCACAGGTCTGTCTCCTGGTCTAGGAATATAGCTGGGGCTCCCTCTATACGGTCTGTCCAGCGTGGCAACTTCGGGTTAGCCAAACTTTTTATATGTTCAGGGCTCCTAAGGTGTATGGCCAGAGAGAGAGAGGGAAGTAGAAGCCATATTGCCTTTTTTAGCCTAGCCTCAAAAGTCACTCAGTGTCACTTGTCATTGCTATTGCATTTTACTTGACATGGCCCCCAGGCCAAATCTATCCAACTGCCTGTTTTTATAAATAAAATTTTATTGGACCAAAGTCTATATATGTGTTGTCAGTGGCTACTTTCATGCCTCAGTGGTAGACCTGCGTGTGACAAAGACTGTGTGGCCTCCAGAGCCTTATATTATCTGGCTCTTTACAGAAACAGTTTGCCAATCCCTGGTATAGGCACTCTCAGCAGCCCATCTAGGTTCAAGGAGAGGTAGGTAGACTCTACCTCTTAGTGTAGGGGAGTGGCAAGATTCTAGAAGAGCATGTGAAACTAGAAATATTGTTGGAGCCATTTTTAGAAAATACAGTCTGGACCAGACATGATGACTCTCACTTGTAATCCTAGCACTTTGGGAGGCCAAGGTGAAAAGATCGCTTGAGGGCAGGAGTTTGAGACCAGCCTGGGCAAAATAGTGAGACCCTGTCTCTACAAAAAATAAAAACATTACCCAGGTGTGGTGATGTGCCTGTAGACCTAGCTACTTGGGAGGCAGAGGCAGGAGGATTGCTTGAACCCAGGAGTTTGAGGTTGCAGTAAGCTATGATAATGCCACTGTACTCTAGATGGGGCAGCAGAACGAGACCCTATCTCAAAAAAACAAAAAAAAACAAAAAAAAAGGAAAAGAAAAGAAAATACAATTTGCTATAGGAAATGAGCAGATATGACTACCTAGGGAAAGAGAATTGCTAGGAGAGCAAACAGCAAATTTTGACAGGTGCATGCTAGGTATGTTCACAGAACAGCAATGTGCCATTGTTGCTGGAGAAGAGTAGGTAAGATAAAGAGTAGTGTGAGATGAGGGCAGAGAGGTTGCTGGGGCCAAGTCACGGAAGGCCATGTACACCATTAAAAGGACTTGGCTTTTAGTGTGAGAGAGGCCATTAGAGAGTTTTCAGAAGAGTAACAAGATCTCACTTGTATTTTTTTTTTTTTGAGACAGAGTCTCACTGTGTTGCCTAGGCTAGAGTGCCGTGGCGTCAGCCTAGCTCACAGCAACCGCAAACTCCCGGGCTCAAGCGATCCTCCTGCCTCAGCCTCCCGAGTAGCTGGGACTACAGGCATGCGCCACCATGCCCGGCTACTTTTTTCTATATATTTTTAGTTGTCCAATTAATTTCTTTCTATTTTTAGTAGAGACGGGGTCTCACTCTTGCTCAGGCTAATTTTGAACTCCTGAGCTCAAACAATCCGCCCTCCTCGGCCTCCCAGAGAGCTAGGATTACAGGCGTGAGCCACCGCGCCCGGCCCTCACTTGTATTTTTTTAAGGATCATGTTGGCTGCTATGGGGAATAGATTACAAGGGACAAGAACAGAAGCAGGAGAGACTGGTTAGCAAGATGTTACAGTCATCCAGGCAAGAGAAGAAGGGGGCTTAGATTAAAGTGGTGAGAGGAAAGATAGAAGCAGTTTGTGAATGAAGATATTTTTGAAGGTAGAACTGATAATATTTGCTGATGGATTGGACAGTGGGAGCGAGAAAAGAGAGAAGTCAAAGATGACTCCAAGGTTTCTGTCCTGGCCAAACTAGATGGATGGAGTTATAGGGAAGACTGAGATAGGGAGAAACAAATTTGGAGGAAGAAATCAGGACTTCAGTTTGGGACATGGTAAATTTGAGTTGCCTATTAGACATCTTTATGGGAATGTCAAGTAGTTATTCAGTTAAAAGTCAAGTTCTTGAGATAGTAAATTTGGTAGTTGACAGAGTATATTTAAAAGCACAGAAAAAATTGCTCAGGAAATTAGCTTGGATAGAAAAGAGAGCCAAAATGTGGTGGTATAATCTGATAACATGACTTCAAGGCCATGGATTTTTAGGGAGAAGGGAAGGACCATGGTCTGAGTGGCTCTGAGGAGCAGTCAGGACACCCACCCACCTGCATGCTCAGTGAGAATTTTATTGCACTAATTCTGATTCACCACCGAGAGTTTGTTTTTACACGGTGGGAACCCAGAAATCTTAACACAGATCCATACTCTACAAAATAAATGTAAGTGGAATGTGCATAGGGGAAGGAGGGGCACTGGCCCTCTCAGCTTCCTCCTCTGGTCTCTCATTCCTTCCAGGGCCCTGAGCATTCCCATTCCTGCTCTCTCCTTGAAACCCCTTTGAAAACCACTCTGCTTCAGTGCTTGAAGATTGATGTGCTAAGAGGTACATCTAATTCTGTCCCTCTCCTACTAAAAACCCTTCAGAGGCTTCTCATTGTCCTCAGACTTCTAACATGGCTCACTAAGGCCCTTCCTGGGCTGCCCCTAATTACTTCTCTTGCTTTCTCTCACCCCCACCTTGCATTCTGTGCCCCACCCACACTGACCTTGTTTCAGTTCCCCAAACCCTCACGTTCTTTCTTCCGGGCTTTTGCACATGTTGTCCTGTCTAGGCTCTTCTTTATCTTACTAACACCTGTACTCATCCTCAGGTTTCAGTTTGGACTTCATTTTTTCCTGGTAGCCCCCTCTTTTCTAATTTACGTCCTCCTGCTATGTTTTTTCCACAGCAGCCCTTATTTACCTTATCGTAGTCCTTTTCTTTATAGTTTATGGTTTTTTAATCATCTGTCATCATTGAACTGGAAGCGCCATAGGAGCAGGGACCATGTCTGTCTTTCTCTCCGTCCTATCACCATCATAGGGCCTAGCTCATAAAGGTACTTAAGCGTTTTTTGACGGTTTGAATGAAAGATGGTAATTTTTAAGATGAATTGTGTTTTCTTGGTAATGTGGGGATTTGGGAGACCGTCTAAATTTTGTACTAGATCAGTTATTAAATCCGCAAAAAAAAAAAAAAAATAGAAAAACGTAAGGTAATAACATGGTTAAATTATTTCTATGCAAAAAGCTTATTGAAATACAAATGTAGAAAAAAATATATAAATATGAATACTGATTATGTTAGGATGGTTGAAATGCATTATTTTCCTTAGTATGTTTCAAATTATAATTTGTTTTATTTCTTTTATATAAAATGTTTTAAATAATTTCTTATGCATTTTAATCATTTTAAATTTAGCAGCATCTTTAACTTTTCTGGTAATTTTATTCCCAAGTTTGACTCAATTGTGGGTAGTTCCTAAGATTTAGAGCATAATCTCTACTGGAAATAAGCTAAAACATCTTGTTTCTATGCTTCTGCTTTAGTAAATTAAAAGCTTTACATTTTCAAAGTTTATTTAAGATAAAGTATCATATTGTTCAAAATAGCAATACTGTTGTTTTTAATAATCTTTGTTTAACTTTTTTTCATGTATTAAATAAGCCTTCTCCTATTTCCCTGATCCTCAGAAACACTGTCATCATTACTATAAAAGTAGTACTTAAGTATTAAATATTTGTAAAATGTCTTTGCGAATGACTTGAAGTGTCTTCTAGTCATTAATGCAGCAACTTGTAGACAAACTGAGGCTCAGAGATGCTACATTGCTTGCTGAAGGTCACAGCCTGGTTAGAGGTTTACTTTGGAACTAAATCAAAGATTTTCTTGTTCATAAAGCCCCCTACATGTAATACCACACAGTAAAGATTTTTCCCTTGTGTATATATTTCTTTTAAGAATAATTTTATCTAGGCCGGGCGCGGTGGCTAACGCCTGTAATCCTAGCACTCTGGGAGGCCAAGGCGGGCGGATCGTTCTGAGCTCAGGAGTTCGAGACCAGCCTGAGCAAGAGCGAGACCCCGTCTCTACCAAAAATAGAAAGAAATTAATTGGACAGCTAAAAATATATACAGAAAGAAAAAATTAGCCGGGCATGGTGGCGCATGCCTGTAGTCCCAGCTACTCGGGAGGCTGAGACAGTAGGATTGCTTGAGCCCAGGAGTTTGAGGTTGCTGTGAGCTAGGCTGAGGCCATGGCACTCGCCCCAGGCAAGAGAGTGAGACTCTGTCTCAAAAAAAAATAATAATAATAATAATTTTATCTACATGTACGTGAGGAACTGCAATGTATTTCTAATTTAAGGCTATTGCTAATATTAAATCTTGATAAAACCTGTCCTTTTGAGTCTGGTTATGTTAAAAAACAAACTTTTTTCCTGGTTTGCTGTTATTAGTATACTGTGTTTTCATGCTTTTTTCCCTCTTCCTCCACAGTTGTGCATGCCTAAAGGGCTATCTTTCAGAACACAAACTGACAGTAAAGACCCTCAGTTCCACTCATTTATAATTACCAGAGAAGATGGTTCTCGTACCTACGGTTTTGTTCTCACTTTTTATGAAGAAGTTACAAGCAAGCAAATCTGCACAGCAATGCAGACTCTCTATCAGATGCACAATGCTGAGCATTATAGCAGTGTGTATGCTTCATCCTCCTGCAGCATGGACTCACTGGCAAGCAGTATTGATGAGGGAGATACAACTTCCCTTTTGAAACTCCAGCGATACAACTCCTATGATATCAGCAGAGACACCTTGTACGTTTCCAAAAGTATATGCTTGATCACACCGCTACCTTTCATGCAGGCCTGCAAGAAATTCCTCATCCAGCTTTACAAGGCAGTTACCTCACAGCAGCCTCCACCCTTGCCACTTGAGAGCTATATCCATAATATACTTTATGAGGTACCCCTTCCACCTCCAGGGAGATCACTGAAATTTTATGGTGTTTATGAACCTGTCATCTGCCAGAGGCCTGGGCCCAATGAACTCCCCCTTTCTGATTATCCCCTTCGAGAGGCATTCGAGCTCCTGGGATTAGAGAACCTGGTACAGGTGTTTACCTGTGTTCTTTTGGAGATGCAGATCCTTCTCTACTCACAAGGTAGGTCTTCCTTGGATTTTAAGTTTTCCAAAAACAAGTACTTATGCTTCCAACTACTATATTTTCGTGGAGTATATTACTAGGACAAAATAAATAATGATTACGGTCTTTTCTGTTTTGTGTAAAAGGAGCAGGTATGAGTGGCACCAAAGGCTGAAACAATGCTTCTCTTTGAGGTGGCATTGACTGCAGAGAGAAACAAGAAGGAATACGAAAGTATTAACTTGACTGATTTGAGTATATGTATTTTTTAATGGAAATGGCCCTTTTTTCCTGATAATATATAATCATCATAAGAAATTTTATGTCTTTTCATAATGAGAGTGAAAGAATCCTGTTACTACCAGAAACGTGTAGACTTCCCATTTTTTACAGATTAGTAGAGGTTCACATCAAAACTCAGCTGACATTAAAAAGGGATAGATGCAGTTGTTGACTCTGCAGCTTCCTGAGGCACTTTGGATCTTTGCCTGTGGGAGCATTTTACGTGAGTGAGAGAGAGAGGGTGAGCCAGGCATGAGACAGATGTGACTTTCCCAGGTCTGACAGTTCTGCCAGAGTTGTGTGTGTGTGTGTATGTGGTTTTTTGGTTTTTGTTTTTTTTAAATCTCAGAAGGAAGTTATCTTTGTGATGTCTTTTATTCAAAGTTCTTCCATCCAACACATACTTAAGAAACTAACAAACTAGGGTTTTATTTTATCAGTACATTTACAATGATGAATGTTCAGCCTAGACTAGGATACGTACTGGTTCTCATCTGAATATGAATTTATAGGAGAAATAGAGATGATATGTCTTAATGGGTAGTGGATTGAAGGAAATTATAAGATGGTACCTGTGCATTGATGGAGTCTTTGAAAAATGTGGCACAAATATTTGGGTTAGCATTTTGCTAACTTGTGTTTAGGCTGGCAGAATTGTAGTGCAATCTCCTGACTGCTGCCGTCAAGCTTATTTTACCACTTTCCTTTTTTTATTTTTCTATTTTAAATTATAAGCAAGGCTGAGCCAAGTAGGCTATATTTGTACTTCCCCATCTTGTGTGTATGTTGACACTATTTGTGTGTTGACAGCCCTTCACGAGGTTGTATTTTCTTCAGTTTATCCTACATAGTGTTCTCTGATAATACGTTCCAGTGTCTCACTTTTGTTGTCAGGAAGTTCTTCTCTAATGGCCAATCTAAATTCTTTCCCCTTTCGCTCACTTTTTTAGTGCTCATCATTACTTGTAGATCATCTTTCTGTATCTGAAAAATTTTACTTTAAGTAATTCTCTTCTTTTTTTCTTTTTCTTTTCTTTTCTTTTTTTTTTTTTTTTTTTTTTTTT